CTAAGATTAATAGACCACTTTCATAAATGGCTGCCGGATTAATATTCTTTTGTTTAAATTTAAATTTGCCTGGGTGGCCTCGCTTGAGATAATGTATTCTTTTGAATTTTGTACTGGAGAACGAGGCCACCTAGGCAAATTTAAATTTAAACAAAAGAATATTGATCCAGCAGCCATTTATGAAAGTGGTCTATGCTTGTGTGATTTTCTATGGTCACTAACACTGATGTGTTTGTGAAGAGAACTTGTGACCCTCTCAAGTCTCAATAAAACAGATGCAAAATAAACCCAATTGCAACTTAGTCTATTGGGTTTCCCCACAATTTGCACTTTGTTGAATTCTCAAAGGCTAACTACAACATTACCCTAAGTTTTTCTGATTGGTTATAATGATAGCATTGGTACGAGTTTTATGGCACTCAACTGAATACTGCTCTATTACCACTGAAGTTCAAAGAACACCAAAGGGTATAATACAATTGCAGTACTTAAGAGTAGGTCCACTGGACTGTTGGTTTACAAGAAAAGCTAGTGAATTACACAGATAAAGAAATCCCCTTGGAATGACCACTCAAAGCATGATAAAACAAACATTCTGTAAAATTACTTCTTCATCTGCAAATCCATTAACAACTGGCTGATGATCCAGTCCACCTAGCCCATCATCAAGTCCATTCGTCACCTGCGAAAGAAAACCAAGTGTTTGTGCTTTTGTTGTCTAATGCTAGAAAAAAATTCCCCTCACAGAACAATTCATGGTAACTATCTCTGTTACTATACATTGTAGTCACCATCTAAACGCCCACAGTTAATTCTGGGAAACAGCACAACCTACAGATTGGTGAATAATCTGTAAGTTGCGCACGCAATGCATGATTTCTGGTGGAGCAATGTCAAGCTCACGGACAGTGAAGTAAGAATGGCTTCTCGACTCGCTTCATCGACCCAGCAAGAAATTACTTGAAGATAAAGATTTGGAAAATACTAAAAGATCGACAAAAGTGGCGAAGGAACTCTTCTATGAATACCTATACCCAAAAAGTATCCAGGAGCCACACAACAAAAAGGAATTAGCCCAGGTGAAAATTTGTTTACCACACAGTTGTACATTTTTAAGTGTTCAAAAATAAACTGTGTTTGCTGCGATAATGCATTTGGCATTATTTTCTTTAAAACAATGTATAATAAAACAATTATTGGATTAGGCTTTTTTGATATCCGGAATAATCAAGGTCTCAGTTAGTGTTATCAGCCTCAGCCTTCAGCTTCGGCTGATAACACTTACCTCGACCTTGATTATACTGGATATCACAAAAACCTCATCCAATAATTGTTTATAATCCTTTTAGACCCGCTGAGCAATACCTGGACATAGAAGTTTGATAAATGAATTATGCTCTTTTTGTCCAAAAGTTTTTTCATCCAAGTCCGTTCATCTATTTGTTAACTCTTTCCTTGAAGCACACATATAACTTTTAGAACGCTACAAAAGGCTATATAAAGAACTTTTTAGTGCGAGCTGTTGCCATTTTGGTTCCGATACCTTTAGTCACCAATCCTCATTTTTTAATTCAACATGGTGAGTTATGATAAATAAACAGAGAAGATGCCTATTTGGCTTAGTTTTAGTTCTTTATCATGTTGGACTATGTTGTTGGTTACGTTGGACAATTAGCAATGTTATACTTAGTTGTCTATAGCATTATGCCTGATAGATGCTTAACAACAACCCTAATATTCTCATTTCTTTTGCGCAAAATAATTAAACAGCAGGTCTTTATTTTTATCACTATTTAATAGAATATAACGCGCTACAACTTCATATAAAATGATGTTGTAACTTTGACAAAAAGACCCTCGGACAAAAAGACCGGATGCCTGATAAATTGTCACCTTTATCAGATCTCTTCAGAAGCAGTAGCGATTTATTTATTTATAATTATTCACCTCATTCTTCATATTAATATCGAAGACTTTTCTTTTTGAACAAAAACGAAAACTTAGTTTAATCAAAGCAAAACATTCCTCGCGCACAAAAACTTAACAAAATCAAACGAAATTTTGACGTTCAAAATTTAAAATAAAAAGACAAATAAAGCGAGTTAATTTTTGTATATTTACCAACTCTCTCGATGGATCGTTTAGATTCTAAGCTTTAATATGCATTCAATTTTCAAACTTGTGTCAGGTAAAGGAACGATCAAATGATTGATCCTTCGAATTTGAAAGAAGGAACTCTCTCATGTCAAAATTATGTTCAAGTTCTGTCCAAATACAAAGTCAGATAAGACAAAAATTTGTAGTAAAAAAAAAACAAATAGGAAAAATTAGTGGATCCCGATAAAGATGATTCGTTCTAAATAACAATTATTTCAGCGTCCAAACCTTCGTTGACGCCTTCCAACTAAACCATGACAAAACTAAAGATCATATTTTCTACAATATCACAAACCGAGTAGAAATGGCACTGAATTCAGCTAAAACTAAGGCTCCAAGGACCTTACATTAGCTTCTGTCTGTTCTCCGCCGAAATCTTCACCAAGCTCAGCGAGATCATCTTGTTCTCTGGCCAAAAACTCGGCTGCTGGATCTTCCTGAAATTCGTCACTGCCCAAAAGATCCGCCATGTTGGTAACCGCAATGACTCGTGTTGGCACAAAAGTCCCCGGATTAATTTCCCTTCCATGATACTCCCTTGGGACACTGGGAGACGTTTTCTTCTGACGCGAGGCCCTCTGGGTAATTTATTGCGTCATGACAGTCACCCGACAGACATCGTGAAAGATGGTGGGTTATTTTCTTCGCCCTTGTGATGGTCATCTTTGCGGGACTTTTTTTACTAATCTAGAGTATTCATTTCTCCTTAGACTACACTCGTGTTAGCAGGGCTTGGAGTCGCTGGAGCGGCGATAGCAGGTTTGTTTAAAGGGAAAAAAGTATCAATTAACTTGTTTATAACTGCACGTGTTGCATAATTCTGACAGAGGATTTCTTTCGTATTTCAGGCCGCTTTGCTATGCAGGCGTTAAGAAAAGTTAACCTAAATGAGATACCTAAGATTATTCCTAAGATACCGGTAAGTAGTATTAAGAACAAACGGGAAGTCCCTCATGATAAAGTTGAGTTTACCGACAGGGATGAAAAATTCTGCGCGTGCGCTAGAGACCCGCGGTACGAAACGCGGGCTCAGACGCGCGCCTGTCTAAACTCACTAACTTTTGCTGGAATCGAACAGCTGTTAAAAAAAGTTTTAAAAATAAGGAAGCCGTGAAGAAGGTAAGGTTTTAATTCTCATTTTTGAAAAGAATTTTAAAAAAATGAGAGGGTGTACAAATTGTAAAAAAAATTGTTCTCGCGCTAAAAAACGGTCTTTTGTGCAAAGTTTCAGTACGCTTGTGAACTGGCTCAATTTGTAGCAATGTTTACAGTGTTGTATTGGCTTTTCCTGGTCACTTTTTTTGTCCGTTCATGCAAAATGTTGGTTCGCCGGTAAAACAAGAAGCAGTAAAGAAGCTTGTGACAGCAAGCTAAGACCCTGCCACCTGGTTTGGCAAAAGCTGTGAACTTGCCTGAAGAAACTCCAGTTTGTTTACATCATCGTCGAACGATTGAAAAGCAAGATAATTGCTGCGCATCACCATTTTCTGGCCGACATTCCAATTGATTAAACTTAATTCCTGTAAGCCTTTTCGAAATTTTGGACATACAGGGAAGAAAGAAAGCAAGATATCAACCAGGGAGCAAGTGGTGTAATGCCTGTCAAATAAAACTTTACTAAAGTGCCGAAAGAGACTTAGGTATGGCGATAACAGATGGATTTCTTTGTGAACTATGTTGACTCGAAATCATGCATTTTGTTTTATTTTGATTTAAATCTAGGAAAGTGGCTCTTTTACATTGGACAAATTATGAAACAAGGAACCATTTATTTTTTAACCAATGTTAAATATCTATCGTTTCGAAACGAATTATTGTTAATTTTACATAGGTAAACTTCCACTATTGTAATTAAGCTAATATTGGAGAGAGGGAATTTTTCTCTCATTATATCTTGCAATAGTTCCATTATTTACTGTGTTTTCAAAATAGCTTAGTTAAGCTTTCGTATCATTGAATTATTTTGGAATTTACTATCGTCTGTTATTATCACCATTCAAATTCAAGATAGATACCAGTAATTTTGATCAATCATTTACCTATTGTCAATCAAAACTAACTCAGACCAACCCATCCTAAACTCCCACCCCCATCTTTTCAATCAAAATATTCAGTCCAAAATTTATTTTAACTCAAAAAAATTTTTCTGGCTCCCTGTATCCAACTTCTATTCCTTTTACCACCTACTTTTAATGCTAACCAACCTGTTACTCATCTCCCTCATTTCTTTTCTTCTAATTATGACCATCTCATCTTATTTCATTCTAGCCTTCCTTATTATTATCATTAAATTTTTGTACTGGTTGTAGTGACTGCCTTGCAGTTTGAATATAAAAATAATGAATAAACACATCTGTCAAAGAAATACTTGAAAAAATAAAGGGCTTTTTCCAATTTTCTGGAGACTAAATATTCCTATGTAGAGCTTGATGTGACTTTGCTAAAATTCAAACACAGCTAAGTTCAACCAAATTGAAGCAGTTCTATATTATTGTTTATAACCTTAGAAACTTTAGGACTTTTTCTCCTTTACAATGAAAATCTCACATTTTTCTTTTCTTGTGTATCTTTTTGTATTTTTGTTATATTTCTTCATTTTCGTTTTATTTCCAGTGTAGTTATATTAAGTTAAGAAAAATTTGACCCACTATCTGCAGGTCAAAGGAATATCATGTAGATATGTAAGAAAATAAAGTAAGTGTGGACCATCAATGCTAGTACCCATTAAACTACTAATTGTTTTTATTTTTAATGCTGCCTTATGACTGACATAACTGCCTTGCAGTTTGTATATCCCTCAGTGCAAATTCTCTACTGAACAACTAACATTTTATTTTCATCATTTCAACACTTGCCACCCTCATGCTTCCTTTCCCCTTATTAACTCACTATTTTTGTAGAGATTTGGGAACCCTTTCATTTGGGATTCCATACTTTTACACATGTAATGCCACAAAGGTTGCTAGATAAATCTTTTGCATTTTTTTAAGAAAGGTTTTTCTTTAAAAAAAAAAAGACAGTCAATATCCAACCACATCAACATGGCAATGTCACTTTCTGGTTCTTTCTGAGCACTATTTCACTTATTGTCCTTTTGTTTAATAAATTGTTTTATTCATCCAATGTGGATATTTCTATAATAAGCAGTCCACTGAGTCATGCGTGGGTGTACCAGATAATTGTTCAAGGAATCTTACTAGGCAACAGGATCTATGATTCAACCACACAAAACTCTCCTCGAACCTTTGGTGTGCTACAACCTCTGCAAGTCCCTAAAGCATTGAACAATATCATTAGCCATACCACCATGGGTCCTGAACTCCCTGTCAGGATTAATCCTGAAGCAATTCCGGCTTCTGTTTTCATTTGAGTTCCAACGCCGTTGTACTTATTCCAACTTCCACATCCATGAGAACAATGGACTTCATATTGCTTTTGCTGAGTAACAGCATTCATAGGAACTTCTCTCATGTCATATGGAAATAACTAATTTCCAATACACTCTTGGGACTATAACAAATGTTAAGTTCCAGCGAAAGCGATATGTAATGCAATTTGTAACTTGTGCTGTAGCTATGCATGGGTTAACACGATATTTTGCAGTGTTTTCAATTTTTTCATGTAACACTGTGTAGGATGGGTGTGCTTTCGCTTCACCTTGATAAAAAATTCCATTTTCTTGGAGATGCACATTTATTAACAAAGCATGATATTATTTACCTTCTATCAATTTGAATCTTAGCTTATTACCTAAAATAGAGGTAAATTATACTCAAAGAAATTATGCTTACAATATGTTTCCTTACCGAGTACTGAAAGTTGTTGGCTCTAGGGCAAGCAAATAAACATTTCCCAAAAATAATACGTTCAGTATGTCGATGAGTTTACTTTACAGAAGTTATTTTCAAATATCGTCCTTACATTCCAGTTTGAAAGGCAAATACAGTTTAAATTGCGCCGACATTTTGCTGGTCAAATGATCGAATAGCTCATGAATGACAACATCAATATGTTCACACCACGCATGCGCAGATGTTTTTCATCCCTGTTGAGTTTACCTAGTTTACAAAACCAGTATTGCACCTGGTTGGCCCTCGTCAGCAAAAATATCATTTTGCGTTTGATTTCTTAACCTGGTGGTATTTTATTTAAGTCTTAAATGATTTTGGTTTTTTATTGATTTGAATCATTTGATAAATACCGCATTAAATGCTAATTAAGAGTGTGGAGAAAAGCACCATTTGCCAAAGTAACCAGAAACGTGTAAACCGCTGAATGGAGATTGTGTCTGCACATTTAAAGTAAAACTCAAGGTTCATTTTCTTTCAAGGGGCGAGTAGCCCTATTCATCAGACAGATAACAATATTCACACAATTTACAACTTGATGGATGAGTGTTGTCAAAACGAAAGGAATACACAAGGGTGAAGCTATAAGTGTAAACTTTAATGCGGTGAAAGCAATGCCATATGAAAATTCATATGGCCTATCTGCTTGAAAGCCATGATTGGCAGGAGGTTTTTTCTGTTACTGACTGCAAATTGAAGTGTGATGGCTTATCTAATACCCTTCGGACCATGTTTAACGAGTGCTTCCCGCTGATTTCTGTTTGTATATCCTCAAGGGATCCTCCTTTCTTTTCACCATTGGTTAAACATCTTTTGAAATTTAGGAACAGGTTGCAAAAGAGATCTAAACCGCTCCCTGTTGGCCTTGAGGAATCAACCATCTTATTAGGGAAAATCAATGACAAGCTGTCAAGCAGGATTCTCGTATGTCCGGTAGGGGTTCGCATGCTTGGTGGTCCACTGTCAATACCATTACTGGAAGAGACACTCAGCTTCAGTTGATCAGCTCAGTTATTCATCCAGACATCATTAATAAATGTTTTTGTAGCATAAGCTCTGATCCTGAATATATAGCCCCTGCACCAATTGATATTCCTGATGATGCAAGAATACCTACAATACCTCTTCACATTGTCACACACTTTCTTTCTAAGCTTAAGAGGACTGCTTGCGGCCCAGATGAGCTCCCATACTGGCTTTTTAGAGAATTTGCCCATAATCTTGCCCCTGTTGTCACCAACGTGTTTAACAGCTTGCTGTGACAGCATAAAGTACCATACTCTTGGAAGATGGCAGACATCACGCCTATACCAAAGGAGTCTCCATTGACTTGCTGTACCCAGCTTCGGCCAATTTCTTTAACTGCTATTATCATGAGACTTTTGAATGATTGGTCTATAGGTTTGAACTTTTCAGTATTTGCAATGATTATATTGATTTAGATCAGTTTGCCTATTGGGGTGGCCATAACTCTACAATGGCATTGATTAAATGTCAACACATGGTTAAAGGGGCTTGATGGTAATGCCGATTTTGTCAGAATTTTTTCCTTTGACTTTAGTAAGGCCTTTGACTCTCTATCACACAATTCCCTCTGTAGTAAATTAAAGCAAGTTAACATTATTCCATTTATTATTAATTGGCTTAATAGTTTTTAAATCATAGAAAGCAGAGAGTTGTTGTCGATGGTCACAGTACTGAATATGTTTCTATAAATAGGGGTGTTCCTCAAGGTACAGTCCTGTGGCCGGTCTTATTTTCTATTTTTATTAACGATATCAAAGCTGTTAACAATAATAAGAATCTTCTGGTTAAATTTGCTGATGATATAACTATTAGTTTACCAATCGATGCTAATGTAGGCTTAGATGAATCCGAAACGGAAGTCCTATCCTTTATTGAATGGTCCGAGAAGAACTGCATGAAAGTCAACTTGACGAAAACATGGGAACTTCTTTTACGAGGAAAGACTTCCAAGACGCCTCCTGAACCACTCGAGATCATAGGGAGGAAAGAAAAACTGAAACTATTGGGTGTTACCTTTGAGCAAGTGCCAGTTAATTGGGACACTCATATTGATTATCTACTTAGTAAGGCTAGCAGTAGGTTGTATATTTTGAATATAAATCTGCAGAACTTTAACTCTATTGAGAATTTGGACTTACTTTTTCAAAGTTTGATTCTTTCAGTTTTTACATATGCTATTGAGGTCTGGGGGTGTGCTTTTTATAGTAAATATTTAAGTAGAATTGATAAGCTCTTTGCCAGGTGTTATAAGCTGGGTTACTGCTTAAAGCAGCACAGTATCTTGGATATCCGTTGTAATAGAGATGAGAAATTATGGCAAAGGATCTCTTCCACCAACACTGCGTTGAGCGATCTCTTACCTCCCCAGAGAACACAGCAGTTGAGAACTAGGTCACATAATTATATTTTACCTAAAGTTCAGACAAGCCGTTTTAAATCAGTTTTTATTAATAGATGTCTTTTCATTTGTAATTAATACTTTTTCCTTTTCCTTATTCATTCTATTCATGTTAGTTGTTGTACGTCTGTTTGCACAATAATTCTTAATAAAGACTATTATTATTATTATTATCATTATTTACTATTGAGCTTTCCACCACTATCACTAGCATCATACAGCATTCTTCTCGAAATTTATTGCAGTAAGGGTTGAATTATCAGAAAAGATGTAAAAACAGCTCCTTTATCTGTTGGAGTTTTCCTCTTCCCTTAAATAAATAAATGAATAAATATGTAAATTGAAACTCCCCCTTAGGGGCTTTTCAGCCACAGTGTAAACTAACTAAGTGCTTAAAAATCCCCACTGGCAGGAGGCAGACCAGGGGGCTATTTACAGAGTGCAGCCGAGGATTTGAACTAAGGGCAACTGAGAACAAATCCAGTGAGTGGCAGGGTGGAGGACTTGAACCTGGGACACCTGATTACAAGTCCAGCACCCTAACCACTTGGCCATGCCTCCTCCAACCACTCAGTCGTGCCTACCTGCCTCCTTCAACCACTCAGTCATGCCTCCCTTCCTCCTCTCCCTCCCGTCTTCTCTTAGGAAGCAACTGGACTATGCAGATGATTTTGTATATATATATAAAATGTATAAAACTATAATATAATAAAGGTGGTAATTTAGACCTTTATTGTATTATGTTACCTCAATAATTCTATATTGTATATAAGCCGCTCGCAATGATTGTAAACTGCTTTTTAGTTTTTAACTTTTAACCTGAGGAAGGCTGAACAGCCGAAACATCGTCAATTAAACTAGTTCAGAACAGTCAAGGGTTGGTCTCTTCATGCGTCGACCTTGCTGTACACTTAACGATATATATGTATATATTGGAGTGCTCGGTTGTTCTCTTTGGCATCCCATGGTTTGAATAAAAGAAAGGAATTTCATTCGAAAAATAGAATTTGCTATAATTAATTTTCCATCTTATGTTAGGCTCTACTAATTGGTCGTTCAAAGGCCCTTTTCTTGGATTTTGTCAGCCCTTTAGGTGTGGATTGGACTCAGAGGCCCTGCCAAGGGATCTTATTATGATTAGTATCATTTAAGGGCCCCTCCAGGGATTT